CCTCCACTTTTTGTTGTAGCTCTTCCCCGCTGAGGGCGGAGAGGTCGATGTCTTCCATGGTGTTTGGTGTTGTGGGAGTCTACCGATTGCGCGTGACTGCACAACCCCCGGATGGCTACGCCCGCGCGCAGATACCGTGATATCGCACTAGTGTGAAAGGTAAACTACGCGGGGTGCAGCAAGCACGTTCTGGACGTTACTTGGGGCACTGGGTAGTCGGCCGTGTTAGGCCGAGAGAGAGAGATTGAGAGAGAGTTGGAGAGAGAGTGGGAGAAGGAAACTTGATTGGAGAGAGACGGTGGTGGTGGTGGAGAGAGAGAGGAAGAAGTGAGCGCAGCACGCACGCAAGCTTCATCGCACCAACCACGCCAAAAGGGTCCCCGTGACCGCACCGATGGTACCCTGCAACACACGAAATTCCCAACACGTATCCCCCTGGGATCCTCACGACCAGATACTGCTGCGAGTATATCTAACACCCTATGATCAAGAGGGTGAGGAAAGAGCCCGATATGTCTACGGAAAGTCCTTGACGAGATGTTTTCAAAACCATCATCAATGGTGTGTCGACATGAGCAAGCTTGGTCGTGGAGCAATCGAGCTTTGAACATATCGGTCTACATGGGCGGGGTGCCATCTCTCCGCCTCTTACGCTACACTATACACCCACCCATTACCTGCGAGGTTGTCTGTTGATCGTGGATTTTGTCTGGGCGCTGCCGACTGAGATCGCTGGCCCGTGGATTGAAGGGTGCGTGAGATGTTTGCGGGGGGTAAAGTGGTGTGTGCATGCGGAGTGCGAGCATCCAGCCTGCCGGTTTCGACAGTTGTCACCGAGACGACGAGTGTTCCCCGGAATGGCTCTTCCCCGGAATGGCTCTTCCCCGGAATGGCTCTCGTCGTCGTTCGCCGCAACGCCGCAACTGAAGCAGTGCCACACGAGAAAAAGCGAAGCGGCCGAGAAGTATCCGTGGACTCCACAAGAACTTTGACACTTTGACCCGTTCTTCAGCCCGGAGCAGCGACGGGAGCGGAGACCTGCCGGAGATCCCATCCACACCTGCTCTCTACATGCGGCGGTCTGCCGACGACGCCTTCTCCAGAAAATTCTCACGCGCTCTTATGTACGCGGGGAAGCGCTTGCTTGTCGGCGGCGGGACTGACTGTCAGGTTGGTTACCCCGCATTTCCCCGTTCCGAACAGGATCATTGCTGCACTTACTGCCTGCTGCGGTCTCAACTGCATAATGTGCCGTATGATCCCTCTCAATCTTCCAGCATTACAGCATTAGAGATGGAACCCCCATCCAGTTTGAAGAGCAGCAGGATACCAGATAATTTTCGCGCCGTTCTTGTGTCCCCCTCACCAGCTCTATTCTTCAACCTGCAATAACGCACAGATCGTTCCCTCCGTTCCTCGTCATACTACCTCACCTCACGGTCTACACATAAACTTCCACCCGTCTCGTCACTTCCAAACCCTGTGCAAGGACTTGTCGCCCTTCACCCCCCACATCTCGAATCTCTCTTATCGCCCAACGGTACAACCGCAAACCTCTCCCACACGACAACACCCTCACAGCCAGTCAAACGGGCAGGGGTCAGCGAACATGGGAACCGTCTCGTCTAGGTGAGCGGAATATATATATCCTGTTGTATCCACGCGTTGCTGGAGACGAAGATCCAGTGTGATTGTCATACGAACAAAGCAACTTCCTGGCGACAATAAGCAAACCCTTACCCTCATCGAGGCTACTTCTATTGTACGCACAACAACAGCCGTTCGATCCATGGGAATCATCAGCTGACTGAGTGGAATTCGACAACAAGCATGCATGCGGAGAGTGCTGCGCATGCATGCGTGCTTCGCACCGTTTCAGCTGAGCAATCCGCAACAAGACTCAACGAGATACCTTTCTCCGACAGCAATATCCTCCGGCGCGATAAGTCATTGATCATTCCCCGACACCAGCCAGTTGTGTGGAACCTCACATACGTGTCGATGCGAAACGTTATCGTCGATCGTCGGATAAAACGTCCCGTCAAGTTGCTAGAGCGTCGTCACCGAACGCCCTCCCCTGTTCATTTGTCTCTCTTCCAGGTGGTGGGCACACACACCATACGATACCGAAACAAGAGAGCAGGCGTAGGAAGAGTTCAGATAGATATAGTTCGGCGCCTTCCGCTGTTCTCATTCGTACAGAAGATACTCGCCCTATCATGCCGTAGACTTCTGTTGTTGCCGACAGATATATCGACCGCACCATCGACGAGGTGCGAGGTGTACACGCCGATGAACTGGAGATCCTTCCTCTGGAAAAACTGACTCCATTTTGCTCGCGAAAGTTTCGAAGCGCTATGCTTCCTTTCTAGGCGCCAACTTCAACATGGCGCTACGAAGCACGTCAATTGTCTACGACGGTCAGATCCTTTAGTCTGCGTATGGAGTGCATGCCCACTCACAGGAGAT